ATATATATATTATAATGCATAATATATATATATATATTTCATTTTATAATTTCATTACACAAAAATTTTATACCTTAGGGAGTATATTCTTTATAGTAGATTTGGAAAGCTTGAATTTTGAGTGAAAAAGAAAGTCAAGATTTCTACTACTTTACCCCCCCGTTCAGTGCTTTCTCTTTTACTAAGGATTAACATCATAGAGGGCTGTTTTTGCCCAAATGTTCGGCTTTTGTGGAACGGTTAGGGGAACCGGAAAAGCAAGAAATAATTTTTTCATTCATGAATTGACATCTTCAAGAAGCATTGACTCTCAATGAGTAAAAGACAAACATCTGGAAAGATGTATTTAAGCATAAATGGTTTTTTTCGAATCCAAATAACATTAATTTAGAGAAATTTTTGTGGATGCAATATATAATATTGAGATTAAAAAGTATAAAGTAAGTAAAGAGGGCGATGTAGAGTGTGATTTCACTGTTCGACTATTCTATACACTATTCGACTATGTTAGGAGAAAGCCCTCAAACATAGTACTGTCGGCTCTGTGTTTAGATTTGCTAAATTTACTAAAGCACACGATATCTATCTACCAAGATAGAGATATTCTACTTCCGACGAGCTTTCTAAGAAACAATTACAAGCATTTAGTTTACATGTTGAGAAAAATCATAAAAATTCCATGCAGTTGATCTATTTCGTCGCTGAAAATAGAAGCCAAGAAGAATCGATAGTGTTCTCTGGCTTCAGGCACCTAGATTTTTCACTTTGAATTTGGAAACTAGAATATAAATTACAAATGTCTCTACTAGGGGAGATCAAAATTCATTATTTTTTCACACATTAAAATCTGGTTAAATACGTTTTTCTCGTTTATAAATTACAACAAGGTTTTTCAATAATTCCTGATATTTTAAAGGAAACTTTTGATGTATTTGTTTCCTGTAACAGTCTAAATAATCATTCAGTACAGCCACACTAATTTTAACGATCTGAAAATTAACAAATAAGTTGAATGAACTCTTTCATAATTATAATAAAAACTTAATTTGGGTTTAAGATTATCTCAGAAGTGATTATTATTTTTTATTTTATTTCTTAATTTAGATGCCTTACAGTCCAACAGTTATTTCCCCTATTAAACTACGGCCATATTAGTGGCTGATAAATACTGGTAGTTCGACTTAGCTTCAAACCCTGATGAACAAATGCGATGGCTGAATGGTATTTTTCCATGGTTTTTCCCATGTGTAACATGAACATGAGACTTTTCTCATTAGAAAGTCCTCTACGAAGGCATCTCTCTCCTTAAAAGCAGATAGTCCTTGTGTGTTTTGCTGTATTCAAGTAATCTTAACCCTCAAACTACGACACCTGTCACACTAAATCAAGATGAAAGGTTTCTAAACAAGATTTTAAATCGGTCTGTGAGCCCCAGTGGCCTAGCGCTAAAACCATTGAGTACTTGTAATTCAACATCAGTTCCTGGTTCAAATTCTGGTGAACACACTTGTTAATGAAAGTTTTCTACATTCAATGTGAATGAAATCTAATTCCCCTAGAAAGCTCCATGATAGTTTCCGTCCTCTTGCGCAGATTCCAACTCCATTAAATTTTCTGCATTAAATACAATTAAACATCAGATCAAGTGCGATTATGAATTATTATTTTAAAGTAGTTAACATTTTGAGTGGGAAAGCATTTTAATACGCTCATAAACAACCCCTCCTCTAAATTGGCATCAAACTGTGTCGATTTCTACAACAATCTATATAAATACGTTCCAAAAAATTCTGCTAAAATATTAAAAGTTGTATTTGTAGAGCATTTATTAGTTAGATTTGTGACTACCTACTCAACTTTTGGTTTTCATAACCTATAGGTATTTTCTCCCGCCTTCTTAGCATACCTTCGTGGTGTAATGGTCAGCACGCACGGCGTGTATTCGAGAAGTTGGTGGTTCGAGTCCCGGCGAAGGCATTGCTCCTATTTCACATGTCCTGCTTCGAAATAACCTAATGTTTCTATAGTGGCACCCAAACCAAAAAAGGTGGTGGATGATGATTCTCCGCCTCAAGGATTTGGCGATTCGGTCCCCTAATCCCCAGTCGCCCTTTAAAAGGGGGAGTATATATGGTATTTTCTCCCGCCCTTTTAGTATGCCTTCGTGGTCTTCAGTACACTCGGCGCGCATTCGACAAGTCCGTGGTTCGCGTCCGGGTAAGGCATTGCTCATTTTTCATTCTCTTGCTGTTAAAAAAAAAAAATGTAGTGTCTCTACAAAACCTTCCATTCATCAGAATAGTAATAAAGTATGAAGCATAGGGGGTAGGGGGGAAAAAGGAATTTTAAGAAAAAGAGTTATTTTACAAAATGACTCAAAATTTGAGACAGTAGTAGTTATATAACTCAAATAATTAAATATTTGACCTCTTAATTTTACCAGTATTTCTGTATAGAAATAAAACATAATTAAATATCTTTAATGAGTATCATAGACAGTGGAGCACATCGAGTGAGCTTCACAATATTTTCAAAAGCACCACTTTGACAAATGAACAGAACTGTCGGGAATCGCTTATGAATGTCACTTACACGTTTCATAATGCCAAGAATGTTATAAAAATAACGGTTATGCTATATCAACAACTTACCGATCTTTCCAAAGTGCTTAAAAATAGAGCTTTTCCAAAAATTGTATTCAGTTCATTCACGTGTTTAATCAAAGCTCGTCGTCGATTTTTGAACTATTATCGATATGCTATTGAATTCAAATTTTGTACACACACACCGTTACGGATGATAATAATTCGATTTAGAGTTTTTAAATTTTAATGTCGAGAAAATTTTTTGCGCATATTTCCATTAAGAATAAACTAAAAATCTCAAATTTTTAAGTTTGCATCATTTTACAAAGTGTAAAATAGCTTTGAAATAAAATTGTATGAAATGTAACCTAATTTCTGATTTGGGGCGAATTTTGTTTTAAATTTATATATCTTTTCGATTATTTGAGGTAAAAGGATACTTGGAAGTAAGTAAAAAGACTGAACCAAAGTATAATAATAATAATAATAATTATCGCATAGATTAATGGTAATAAGAGATCTCTTAATACTTCTTTGCTAAATTCCTGTACAGTTTTTAAGAAGAATCATAGGTTCTTAAATTACGAAATCAAATAATTGAATCGCTTGTCAGATGCATAATATTTATAAATTTATCAAGACAGCCTCACGTTTTTGTGTTATTCGTGATATAAATTTGTAGATAAATTCTTAAAGAGAATTATTTAATATCGTATTCCCATTAAATTACACGATACATTATTTTTAAAACAAAGGGCATTAGCCGAGAAGGTCTATTAACTCATTTCATAAAAACTATGTCAGTTCACTTTTCAAACTGTTGTACCACATTATTACAGCCCTGTATTATATTTAAAGAATTAAATAATGGTTTTTGTTTATTAGATTACGCACAAAACTCCGAGGCATCTGCCTTGAAATTAATGAATAATCTGTATGTTCTCGCATTGTGAAACGGTTAGACCCATCCAATTGAAGAAAAGTACATTTCCACCGATATGGGGCATCTCGAAGCGAGATTTGGAATGTGTTTTATTAGGTTTAATTTTCGTAAACGTCAAGGAATTTTAATTAAGAAACTCAACGATTTTAAAGCGAGCAAAGCAACACTGTATGAAAAATAATATAAAAAATTATCTTCAACGGGCGAGACTGTGTATCGGAAATTCTAAAGTATGTCATTTAAAATTTATTTTGCGGGTATTGCTGTTTAACTGAAGTTTTATGGTTTAAGTGCAAAGAACATGATATTTAAAAATAAGGTAACCCACAAACCGTTAAAAAAAAACGCCCTTTGGGGCCTAATGTAAAATCTGAAAGATTGCATTTTCAGATTTTTATGTTTGCATTATTAATTTTATTTTTCTCGTTTTAATTCATTAATGCTCTTATAGGTAAACGTTCATTTTGTAAAAAATTCTATTTTTTATTCAAAATGCTCTAAAACGGAAATTCTTAAAGCCCTTTTATATGCATCCCTTTGTGTAACTGGTATAAATTGTTTCTTTAGAGTCAGTGTAAGGCCTTATCCCAAAACAAAGAAGATTTTCCCCACGCTAATGAACAGCCATTACCATTGTCGTCAGAATTGCATGAACCTTGTCCCCTTAGGCATTGGGGGTTGGGAAGACATACAAAAATCGGGCTAGTCCTTTTAGCGTGTTTTTCGATAATACAAAAAACGGGACTGTCCGTTTTTCGAGGGTACATTTAAACTAACAATAATCCGTAACGAACCGTTAAGAGACCTGCATAAAAGAACGAGAAAATCCGGGCCAAACTGTTAATGGGTTAAAGCAAAATTTAAAGAATAAGTGATCAAATTTTCTTTAAATCGCTTTTGTAAAATATTACATATGAAACCAGATATTGTTTTCAGAAAGACAAATTGTAGAGTGATTAGGTTTTCTTGATGCTAAGGACTTGAAAAATGAGCAATGTCCTCGCCGGGATTCAAACCTGGACCTCTCAAATACATGCTGAGGATATTACCATTACACCACGAAGGATGCAGTGAGAAGTTAGAAAATACCTTATATACTCCACCGTTTAAAGGTCACCGCCTAGAAGCGTCGGTAACGCTTTTGAGGTACGTCTCTTTGACCACCTAAACCTTATAACGCTCAGTGGGTTAAGGGTCACTAGTTATTATCAGTATGCACGACGTATGAAAGGTTATGTAATGTTGCTCATATACATAGTGTAAACAAGGTGTATCGTAAATGTTGCGACTAACTTCTAAGGGAGGTAGGGCACATCATAAGGATAAGAATTGCATAGGAACCCACATGCAAAAACATGACCCTTGTTCGCTATACACCACCAAGGGTGCTGTACAGAAGACTGCTAGTGGAAAGTGAATGAGGATTTCCTCATTCGAGCAGTAGGCACCATACGAAGAGCACTGAGCGCTATATGAATAGAGAGCTTGCAGACATGCACTTAGTGTATGGAATAGCTGAGGGTAATGGACGAGCCGCTGCACGCATTTATCGTGAACGCTTCCTCCCAGACATTGACCACACGACAGTTACAGTGGAGAGTAATCCAAGGACCAGCATAAGTGTCGTTGCCTCTCAATTAAGAATGTCTCACACCAGTGTCCAGTGTGTCTTGAACGCTGAGTCCTTTCACACCTTTTGGCTCCAAAAGGGTTCTTTTACTGCTGCCCGATGACTATCCTGAACGTGTGCATGTTTCGCACAGTGGTTTCAGCAAGAAAGTGCTCGTGATGTTAATTTCCCAGCTTATTTGCTGTTCATGGGTAAGGCAACATTCACTAAGGATGGCGTTTCAATCATCACAATCAGCATTTGTGGGGCTCAAGAAAAGTGCCACATTGTGCGGCGCAACAATGCTTTAAAGTCAATATATGGGCGGGTTTGGTTGCCAACTGCTTAGTCAGGCCGTACCTTTTACCATCCATGTTGAATGCTGCGAATTAGCTGATGTTTCTAGTACAAGTTCTTTCCAGCTTGCTTGACGATGTTTCACCAAATGTGAGACACAACATGTGGTTCCAACATAATGGGGCTCCTGCTCATTTTGGACTGGATGTTAATAGCCATCTGAACAGATCATTCCCGCATCGATAGGTTGGGCGTGGTGAACCAGTTCCCAGGCTCCCACGCTCACCAGATTTATCGAGCCTTGATTTCTTTTTGTGGGGAGCCATCAAAAGCATCGTGTGTCACGATTCTGTTGTATCTGAAATGGACCTCATGGCAAGACTAGCCTGCACAGCTGCTACAATCAAAGAAACTTGCTGTGTTTGAACATGTTCGGCAATCAATGGTCCGTCAGTGTCAGGAATGTTTGGCATTTGATGGTGCAAACTTTGAGCATCTGTTGTAACATTTAAGCTGTCAAAACAACATTTGTATTCATGTCTAATAAATGTTTAAAATGAATTGCTGTCTTGTTTCCTTTCCGATTTACCTCTGCTACCACTTAGCCCTGACATTTCCGGGTATAGGTTCCTATGCAGTTCTTAATTGTGCCCTACCACCCCTAGAAGTTTGTCACAACATTTATGGTATACACTTGAATGTAAAGTGATACCATAATTATTTACCCTGAGCTCATCTAATGTGCACTACATGGATGCTTGAAATTTTCTTCAAACACACCTGGAAAGGTCGGGGAATCTCATTTCCTGTTTATGTGGCAACCCTGTTACAGGCATGCATTGTCAACCAAGGAGTTGAGCAGTTGCTGATTTGAACTTTCAGTTTTCAGTTGCTAGCCACTGATGGGTCTTATGGCCTTGAATTTTTAATCATTCGGTTGCATGTAAATGAGCTGTGTATGCGTAATCACAATTACAGTTTGCATTTTTTATATATAATTTTTTACGTAATTTTAACCATCTTTAATCATTTTACTTTTATTCTAACTGTATATGAAAATTAATAAAATAATGCTATTTTTTAATCAGTGTGCACTAGCAAGAGATTAGTATGTGTTTATGGTAGAAATAAAAGCTTTAAATTGTATTCTTTTGTATTTTCATAATTCATTGTGACAATATGAATTCATTGCCCTGTTGCTTTGAATTATCCCCCCCCTCCAATCTTGGCCACTTTAGATTGCATATTTTTGTCTTTGTGTCTGTATTTGCGACATTCATTTGAATTTCATTAAAAAAAATTTTTTATTGAAGTAAGATTTTACTATTATTTTTCTTTCTCAATTAAGATGCTCTAGGATAATACTGCTATAAGTTTTTATGTTATTGTTCATTACAGCTCGTGCTGCAGGGATAAAAGGACAATCATTTGATCCACGAAAAGATCCAGACTTCTATAACTTAAGCACTCAACTTGATTTAGATGAGTTATGGGATGCTCTGAGTGATTGTTTAACGGAGCTTGCTGAAACTCCTGATCATCATGCTGTTTTGGTTTTACAGCCAGCTGTTGAAGCCTTTTTCTTAGTGCATGCATCACCTGAAAAAGAAAATAAAAAGTTAGTATCCAAACATTTAATTAATATTCACACGTACTATTGATTTTATCTGTACTCAAATAAGATGTGTTTGTTATATGTACATGATTGAAATTTTACTATTGGTATAATACTGCAAAGGGAAGAATCTTCCTTTTAATGAATGCTTGTACTTTTCAAAAATTCGCCATCAACCTTTTTTTTTTTTTTTTTTTTTTTTTTTTTTTTGACAATTTTAAATTAGCCTTTAACCCATTAGCCACTGGTGTTGCGTTGACGCAACGGTCAAAATAAATGCATATATGAATGTAACTACCTAAGATATTTTATACGAGCAGATAATTTTGTGTAGGGAATATTATGAAGATTATATCTGTAAAAATATTTGCCTTCAACAATCATTTTGTGTATAATTAATTAATCTCATACTTTAAGCAAAATTTTCGACCGGGTATTTTTTTCTGAAAATATTTAACGAAAAGAATCACCGTCTTTTTAATGAGTGATCTATTTTTAGTCAAGGTCATCCTTTACCAGAACATTACATCAGTCAGATGTTTATATTTGTGTTGGGAAGGAAGAAAAAAACAGGTGTTGCGCTGACGCAACATCAGCGGGAAACGGGTAATCAATCTCCTTTTTCACTCATTCCTTTCGATGTTCTGGTTCATGTTCTGGTTGTTCAAAAATGCCTAGAACGAGGTATCTTACATTAGAAGCCCTTCAAAGATTTGTTTGATGAAGAAACAGATGGTGATAATGTTAATAATGACCAGAATGAAACTGATATTGTTGTTGTTCCCACAGAAATTGCTGAATCTAGTGACGAAGAAGAAAGGAATGGCAATGTTTTAAATAATGATAATGATATTTTACCAAATGATACTGCTGGGGAAGTTGAAATTCACGTAAGAAGTAAGTTTCAGCCTTCTAAAAGCAGTTATAATCAATACTAAAAAGTTTAAAAAGCAGAAGATTGAAATCTTGAAGTGGATAAAAAAGGAACTGTATGTCTCAGGAAGAACATGACGAAAGAGATAGAAGAGAAATTATAAAAGACAAAATACAAGGTAAAACTAGTGCACAGATTTTCATTTTTGGTTTAGACATTTACTCTCTTCTCGTTGAACAGACAAATATATACGCTCAGCAAAAAAAAAAAAAAAGCCAAGAATTTATTGCATCTGAAGCCTATATGAGATGATTTATTGGAATATTATTGCTTACAGGATATCATTCTTTACCTCAAGAAAAAATTTATTGGTCTTTTGATAAGGACATTTCTGTTCCTGTTGTACGAGAATCGATATCACGTTTGCAGTACAGGAATATGAAGCAGAATTTGCATTTGACAATAGTCAAATACTGAAAAATTACATGAGGTGAGACCGTATCTAAACTTACTAAATATCACCACATTTTACTACGGAAATATAAAGTCTTTAGATTCAGACGCGAGAATGCATTATTCGTTTTGCAAAACTCCTATTGAGAGTGTAGAATCAGCCAGAAATAGATCAGCAACAGGAATAAACTAGTAAATTAGCATTCAAAAACCATGAATGAGAGGAGATGGTAGACATTTTATCGTAAAGTCCTTTGATAACAAAAGACTTTGTTGTAAACAGTACCATAGCCAGACTGTTTATAGATGCAAAGTATGTAATGTAGCTTTACATCATAATTGTAATGCTTGAATCTTTCAATTGAAATAATCTGTGTTTGTAAAAGAAATACAATGTATGTTTTAATATTAAATTAATTACAAGTAAAGTGATTTGTAGATTTATAAAACGTTATGCAGCTAAAAAGTAATCCTGCGCTCCACTCAAAAGAAACATCACACGAGTACAATCCTACTCACTAAACATCCGTAGTCTTATTCCGCTGACGTTGCGCGAACACAACACTCGCGTTTTCCACAAGTAAGAACATTTTTTTAATTTTCATAAATGCTTAATTTAATATTTGTTATTATTTTCATGAGAAAAGAAACATTCCTTGTAGTTTTGGCGGTTAATGGGTTAATAAATTATTTTCAAATTTAAGCAAAACTTTAAAAAGTACTTGGAGGCAAGTACTTTTTAAAGTACCGTAATTTCGCGCGTATAGTCCGCGGACTATCTGTGTTTAAAATGCGAATTTTTGAAGCTGCGGACTATCCACCAGTGCGGATAATACGCTGGTTGTTCACGGTTTAAAATTGTTGAAATTTAAAAAAAACGCTGTCGTGAACTGCCGATGATCAAATATAAAAAAAGCGTGAGATTCCAAGTATCCTTTCGCAATGCTTTAGCACAACTGACGGGAGGGGGAGGGGAAAGTAGTTGATGCGTCAACTCGGTTTTTAGGAGCCATAGTAGCAAGTACCTGGAGTACGAAAAAAAAGCGTGATTCGTTTACTTATAGCGTGGTTTGGCAACACCGAGTGAGTGGGGTCGAAGGTCACATTTCATTACTACTTATCACGAGGATAGCATGTTGCACAGTATTTTGTTTTCGTATTTTGTCTTTCATCTTCGCTAACGTTGATGAAACTTTGCCAGAGATTTACTGCTGAGAGGTAGTTCAGAAAACTGAAAAAGATGAAATAGAGAAGCGGGCCGTTATTGGTTTAATCCTAGTATCCGGTGCACACGGGATTTGAGTACTTTTGGCGACTTTAAGATGAGCAGTAAAAACGGGACATATACCTTGAGTAGTTAACGGGTCATTCAAAGAAAATATATAGTTAAATAAGTATATACTATGTATATAGTATATTATCTATGCGTGTATAGTATTATATAGAGATTCTTTGGATCATTTTTGGTGTTGGCGATAATTTTCAAAGTCGCGCCAAGGCTGCACCGTATACTAGAATTTTACTCCGTTATTTTGAAGTGGACAAGAAAGTGGTGAGAAATTTGCGCAAACAAAAGGATGTGTTTAAAAAGCATGGGAATATTGCCGTATTAAAAAAACGTAATTTCGGACGTATAGTCCGCGGACTATCTGACAATTTTTAAATTTTCTTTTATATAAAATCGTGTCTGCGGACTATACGTGCGAAATTACGGTACATGTAATTGGTATTGGTTTTAGTTATTTTAAGTTTCTCATAGTTTCCTTTATTTTCTCCAGAAAAATTTACTCAGCTTAATTTGAGAATTATTGCTAAATTCAGAAAATAATTGTTTATGACTATGGAACATAAATTTCAGTGTTATGTATTGAAGAATGTGGAGTCAAAGGAAAATTTTTTACAGTATATATTCAACAAAGAATAATCCTGCTTGCTTTTTTCCTCTTTCTCGCATTTAACCCTAGATTTCTTTTTACTGGATTTGCATTTCATTGCAAAGACATTGCAAAGGGTGGTGGTAGTTGAAATGTCAGTTTCATCACTGTCTGACATAAAAGAGGAAGCACTGCCTAATTAATAAAACAGCTGGACATCTGCATAAGTATAATTCTGCCAAACTGTTGCAACTGGTGTTTATGACAATTGTGGGAAACTAGTTCTCAAGAAGCTATGAAACAGCTTATTGGTGAAAGCTGAATAATCATCAAAAACCTTTGAATCAGGAAGCTACTACAAGGGCTGAAAGAAGTGATAATCAGTGAATGAAAGGTTAAGGAAGTAGACATGGTTTTGCAGTATTGCACATCATAATTGCTAATGCATGTCTTAAACTAGTGTTCAGTTTTTCAGTGCATTTGCTGCTGATTTTCACAGTGTTATTTCAATATTGTTGCATAATTACGCCTATGAAGAAAGAATGCCAGATGCTGATTACCATACAGTTATAATCTGAGTATAGGACTGACTGGCTTTGCCATTTGCTTTAGTATTTCATCTGCATGCAGCACTCAAGTGGAAACTTAAAATTAGTAAAATGGTTTATTTATTTTTAGAACTATTTAATTCCTTATTTAATTCCTTAACTCATCTTAAGACTATAAGTATTTTTAAAAATTATTACAGAGTTGCCACTCTGCCTGAAAAACCGGGAAACGTAAGGGAACTCAAAAATTGACCAAAAATGTCTGGGAATTTCATATGGAGATTCCAAAAAGAGCAATTTTTGTACCAATGTTGGAAGCGATCACTTTCTTGGTGAATTATGTATCGCATAAGTGTAATTCAGGCAACTGGAATAGAGCCAATTTTCACAGCTCCAATCAGATTGAATTTTAGAAAGGCAAAGCAAGTTTCCAGCAACTTTGCTGTCCAGTATTCTCCAGAATGGAGAGACTCGCATGTAATATTGTGCATGTTGAACAAAAGAGAATACCTTCCTGTTTTTATATATATAAAAAAAGGTTTGATCCTAGTATACAGTATTTGCAGGATTTGGTGATATTTACGATGAGCAGTAAACGAGTCACTTTGGTGTTCGCGACAATTTTCAAGATGATGCCAAGGCCGTACTGTGTACTAGGTTGTTACCACAATTCTTTTAAACCTTTTTCCACCTTTTTAATATATACCTTATTTGTCATTTTGCAGCAAAATAAAAAAAAATAATAATAATCAGTCATCTAAGCTAACTATGTAATAAAACTATATTTGCAAAAATGGCATTATTGTAATTCAGTTTTTAGTTTTTAAGTAATTAACTTTATTTTAATGTTATTGATGTGGCTTCTTCCTTCTAAATTTATTATTTTTTAGTAATACTTTCAAATTTCAGGCAATTTTCTCTGCTATACTCTTAAACCTAATCCTAGCAGTATGACCATCACGAAAATATTATGCACTTATGTTTTGCTTATGTATGCTGCTACATAAATATAAAATACCTGTATTATTTTTAAATATCATTCAATAGATTTCTTTCTTTCATTTAGCTGCAAAATGTGTGCAAAAAAAAAAAGACATTTTTTAATTCATATTGGGTAGGTTCTCATCTCGATCTTCAGTGTGGAAAACAATTCCTATTATAGTAGTAATGCTTTGGGGATCATATATATATATATACACAGTAGAAAGTCCGAGATCCAGACTCGTCGAAAATTCTTCGATTCCGGATTTGGGA